ATATTGACTACTCACCTACACAGATATGCACAAATATGCATATGCACTTACACACACACACACTAATTAATAGAAATTAAAGTCTGTCTTAATTCAGGTTCAAGCTTTTCTCACAATAGTAAGCCATCTTGAAAAACGAAACAAAACCCAAAAAAATAGTAAGCCAACCTCCTTTCCTTTTCACTGCTGATATATTTATGGGTAAATGCTATCTTTGGAATATAATCTCCACTTTGCATCATTTTGTATAATCAATATTGTAAGGCTATAGAAACAGAGTATAGGGTCTCAGGGATTTGTGGACTATATTTTCATGCCTTATTTACTCCATTGGCCCTTCAATGCAAACCGGCTGAAGCCCTTCCCTCAAGCATTGCTTCTTCATAACTCTAATTTTGCTACTGTTTTGAGTCATAATGTAAATATCTATGTTTTCCAATGGTCTTAGGTGACCCCTGTGAAAAGGTCATTTGACTACCAAAGGTGTCACAAAGGTGACTATCCACAGGTTGAGAACCACTGCACTATAGCATCCTGGCCCAAAGCCTATGTTCTTTCATCTCTAATACCACATGTATATGGGTGAATCCTCAGGTAGGTTCTTTAAATATAGAAACCTCTAACTAAGACAATAAGTCATATTTCTTCTCTCTCCCACACACCCAATATCTGACAAAAAATAATTAGAACCCCCATCCAGACAGAGGAACAGAGAGATATATTAACTGTCACTGGTTCATAGCAATAAAATTATGGTCAATTAACATACAAATGATGGCCTCTGTAATGTTTTTCAGGAGTTCTCATTTACATGAGTTACATAATGCTTACCCATCAACTAAGGGTGAAATTGGGTCATTGTTCTTAGAAGATAGTATCCGGTGCCCTTAGGATTTTAAAAGATAAGCAAGCAGCTGTTCATATACATCATTAAGCCTCATATTCATAGAAACTAAACAGAGCTCCTAAGGTGAAGAATATTAGGAATAAGTTCATGCTACACATGAATGTTGGTCATGATACTATATAGCAAGATATTGTTTCCAAAAACCAAAATAAGTAAATAATAAAAGTACATCTTTCAAAAACAATTTCCAAGGGTGGGGAAGATGGCTTGGAGGTTAAGAGAACTTTGTTCTTTGCAGAGGACCTGGGTTTGATTCCTAGCACATACATGGTGGTTAAAAACCATCCTTAAGTCCAGTTTCAGGCCATCTGATACCCTCTTCTAACCTCCAAAAGCACCAAGCACACACGTGATATACTGACATATGTACAGACAAAGCACACAAAATAAAATGAATAAATATAATTTTAAAAGATTAAAAAAGCAACTCACACTCTACCATGTACAAGATGCAACAAAGTAGAACTTAATCTTAAGGCTTCAAGCTGGGATCAGCTTAGTAACATTATGGATGAACCATGCTTATTTTCTTAGGTTGATATTTCAGTTTTAGTCTTTAATTTTTTAAAGTCAACCAATTTGCTGAATCGTCATACCTGCATCCTATATCCTCATGATACTTTAAATGGACAGAACTGTACTTTTAGAATTTTCTTCAGTACCTATATAGACAATTCATGCTTTAACTGAATAAAAATATAGAGAAAAGTCATTCTACTTTTTAAAAAAAGCTCTTCTACTTCCTTTGACAGTTCCTGGTGATACATAATCTAAATGAGTGGTCTTTCAAATAGGGACACTGTTGCCCACCATGTGGTCCTTTGAAAAAGTCTAGATATTTTTAGTTATCCTAAGTGTGGTGTATATTGGCATCTACTGGATGGAGACTAGACATGCTGTTAATAACTTCTTATAATCTACAGGAAAAGCTTCCCACCACAAAGACTTATCCTCTCCTGTCCCAGTTGCCTTCTGTTGGTATGATAAACCATGACCAAGAGCAACCTGAGAAGGCAAGGGTTTATTTTAACATACAGGTTTCCATCTTTGAGGGAAGCCAAGATAGGAACTCATTTTAGGAGTCTGAAGCAGAAACTCCAGAGGAATGCCTCATACTGACTTGCTTTCCCTGGTTTGTTCAGCTACTTTATATAACTTAGGCCCATTTGCCTAGGGATGGTACTGCCCATAGTGGGCTGAGCCTTCCTTCATCAATTAGCAATCATGAAAAGGTCCCACGGACATGCCCGAAGGCTAATCTGATAGAGGCAATTCTTCAATTGTGATTTCCCTTTTCCAGGTGCATCTAGTTGACAACCTAGCTATCACCACTCCCAAAAGTTTATATTGCCACTTTTAAGAAATCCTGGCCCACATAGAGAAACCTCATCTCAAAAAAACCAAAAAAAAAAAAAAAAAAAAAGAAAAAGAAGAAAGAAAGAAAGAAAGAAAGAAAGAAAGAAAGAAAGAAAGAAAGAAAGAAAGAGAAATCCTGGCCCACCAGGTGTGATGGCATATGCCTTTAATCCCAGCACTCTGAAGGCAGAGGCAGATGGTGGATCTCTGAGTTCAAGGCCAGCCTGGTCTACATAGTGACTTTCAGGGCAGCCAGAGCTACATAGTAGACTATCTCAAACAAACAAAACAGAAAAAGAAAAAGAAAATCCTGGCCTAGATGGAATTCCATTACTTTCTGAATAACTAATAGAGTATAATAAAACATACTTCAAACATCAATCACAGAATATGATTAGTCTAGGGACCAGCAAGATGGTCCAGTGAGTAAAGCTGTTTGTTGCCAAGCCTGATGTTCTGAGTTCAATTCTTGTTACCCACATAGCAGTAAGCAAGAAATGGCTTCCATAAGTTGTCTTAACTTTTAAACACATACCCTGGCACTCATACCCGCATACATATATGCACAAAGTAAATATTTTAAAGAAAACCTAATTTTTCTAATCACTTTTTAATTAATAATTAATTACTAGTACTAATTACTATTAATTCTAATTCAGTCTAGATACTTATAGCTATTCATTCAATAATATTCACTAAGAAATATGGTGAATGTATTGTAGAGACATAAGGAAAACAAGACCTTCATTCCCTCACTACCCTTAAATTTATTCAGCTGGTTAGACTCCTTAACGAACAATTCCCCAAACATAGGCTCTTTCTTATTAAACAACTCAATGCTACTTACTCTTCATTCTATGAAGAACCTAGTTGAGAGAAATCTTGAGTGAGAAATTATCTATGAAGATAATCTAACCAGCCATGATGGACCACATGAGTCTTTAATCCCAGCACATATGAGACAGAGGCAGGAAGATCTCTTTTGAGTTTGAGGCCACAATGGTCTATATAACAAGTTTCAGGACAGCCAGGGCTATACAATAAGGCCTCATCTCAAAAAAACAAAACAAAACACAGTAGTGTAAGTACTACTAATTAATTAAATAGGAAATGCTATCATAAGCCTTTGAAGCTCAATTTTATGTTCTCTTGCTTTCACATGGAGAATCTGTCATATAAAATTTCTTACTAACCTCCTATAGGATCCTGTACATATCATTTCATGTTATCCACGGAACTACATGTACATTTCTTTTACAAATTAAACTCTGATGGCAAGGCTGGAGGGATGGCTGAGTAGTCAAAGGCGATTACTACCAACACTGAAGATACCCAGAACCCATGAGCAAATTGTCCTCTGACCTCCACACAGTACCATGGTATGTGCGTGCACACGCACACCCCTAATGTAGTAAGAAATTAAAAGCAACTCTGATGACAAAGCAATCCTTCCCTTCATTCTGATAAATCACTTATAAAGCCAACTCTGAAGCTAATGTATCAGCCCTTATATTCTGGACATCTATCTGTGTCTCCATCCTGACCCCCATGGGATTAACTCATGTTTCATGTTCCCTTTTCTGGATAGTTTTGTCTTCTAGCTTGCTGTCTTTCTGTTGCATTATAGCATTAGGATATCACTGTATAAAATACAGTCATGCATAAATAAGAACTGAGCACAAGCAATGAGAAACCATGGCAGTAGAACTGTTAGAAGTATGCCTAGCAACTTTCTTTTTTTTTTTTTTTTTTTACAGTTAGTATTTATTTGGGGGAAGGGGTTCACACACACTTGACATGGCACATGAGTGGAGGTCAGACGACAACCTTTAGGAGCCAGTTCTCTCCTGGGGATTGATTTCAGGACATCAGGCTTGGTTATAGCTGCTTTACCCACTAAGCCATCATGCCAGACCACTTAAAAACAACTTTTTAAAATGTATTTATTGCATGCAGTGGAACATACTTTGTGAACATCCATGGCATACATGTGGATGGATATCAGAGAATAACAGGTGGAAGCTGGTTCTCTCCTTCAGTGTGAGTCAATGGTATCCAACTCAGGTACACAAGCTTGGCAGCAAGCACCTTACCTGCTAAGCCATCTTGTCAGGACACCTTTTTTTCTTGACAGTGTCCTATGTATCCCAAACTGGCCTCAAATACCTTATTGTAGCTGATACTGACCTTGAACATCTAATCACCCTGCTTCCACTTCCTCCTGAACACTAGGGTTACAGGCATGTCCCACTATAACCCATTTTATGTTGTGGAGTAGATCGAGCCTGGGGCCTGTGCATGATGATCAAGTACACTACCAACTGAGATACATCCTCAGCCTCTGCATGGCAACTTTGACAGCTTGAATAAAGACCCAAATAAAGGCAGTGAGTGTCATAGGAAAACATCCTAAAAGAGCTCACAACTAAGAAAAACACACTATGTGTTGAGGCATGAGAGTGAGGAACTGTTCTAGTCAAGAGACAGATGTTAGGGCCTGGCTGTGAAAGAGCACTCAGAGAACCGGAACATACAGACCCAGTTATCTGTTTTCTTCTTTGGTACACTGCTTTGTCAGCATAGAGTGCTTCAGGAGCATGAGCCATGACACTGAAAGGTACTTAGATGTCACATGAGGGACTTTTGGATTCTAACCTGAAAAGCATGCCTGGAAATCCAAGAACAGTTTGCTCAAAAAAAAAAAAAAGCTTCAAAAATGACAACAGCTACCAACTTTAACAAATGCCATGCATATTTAATAAATATTACAATCCCTAAAGTGATCAGAGAAATGTCCCCAGCCTATCTTCACCCCATCCTTATCGCCTACCAATACTATGGTATACATTCTCCTTTTAAAATGGGATCAATTCCTGACGGGCTCGAAAGGAACAAGGTAGGAGACTTTGGGTAAACATAAGAGCCGGGATTCCCAGACTTCCCATTCCCTTTTGCAGTTGATACACGACGGGCTTACAAGCAGCTTTTTAAGACAATGAAGGAACTCTGACAGCTCTTCATCTCACCCAAGGCAAGCAGCAACACTCTGTTAAGATTTTATGTCTCCAACTGTTCCAATCACGGTTTCCAGGACAGAAACAAAACCACGCAGGGTTTCAGTCCTCGCATCATTCTGTTTCACAGAGATTTGCATCTCTGAGTTCTCAGGCTTCAGCAGCAATTCAGTTAAGAAGAGACCACCAGTATCATCCTGGGCACTGAGGTAGGCTTTCCAGGGCTGTGCCCCAGCCCTGCTCATTGCGATGGTCTGAATGTTCACTACTTTTAGAGCCATTTGTAGAGTGTCGGGCTGGACTTCTCCCTGCCAAGGAAACACCTGCTGGTAAGTAACTTTGAGGCTAAGCCATGTTTTCTCAAAATACTCAGCAGTAAGCTGGAGATTAGGGACCAGCATGAGAGCTTCAGAATCAGGAGGTTCCTGTGCTCCTTCTTTGTTCTCTTCAGAAATCAGGTGTCCTAAAAGAGTGAGGAAGATTTTACAAGAGATGCTCTTAATTAGCATTTTAACTTCACATTTCAAAATACTCCCAGAACTCAGGGTGGAGGGTATTGAAAGCAAGAGACTCAAGCAAGAGAATCCTTGAGCATACAGCCAGCACAAGGCCATATTGGCTGTCTTATAGACATCAAAAATGAAACACATTTATACTGTGACTTCTGTCTTCAGATAAATGGCTTATATAAGCAATGATGAACTCCTCCTCATGCCAACAAAGAATTCAAATTCAGACAACAGTCTGAAATTTAACTACAGAATTTTTCTTTCCACCAGTCACAGCAAGGGGTAGTGGAAAGCTTTATATTACAAGATGTAAGGTAAACATTATTTTTACCTGATGTCGCAAAGGATGCATTGTGGGGAAGCTTAAGGCGATGATGCTCTACCTTCTGGCATTTAGAGATAGCTGCCCAGTGGGCTTTGCCATACACTGGCGCCAGTGTGTTGAAGTCTGAAGCCCAGCTATTCACCGGTCGTTCTGGTTGATCCTCCAAAAGTCCAAGAGACGGGTCAGACTTAGGACTACACAGGATCTGCTTAACTTTATCAATGCCAACTAACAGGAGGCGATAATAGAAGAGACCCCGGTCTCGCACAGCCATATCCTTTTCTTCCTCTGAGAGAAAACAATGGATTGAGTTAAACTTCATTGAGTTTTATTGATCAAAACACCCTAGTCTCTTCCAACCTCTGTGCCAACCATAAGAAGACAAAAAAAAAAAAAAAAAAAGGCTAATTCAGAAAGTATCATTTTTTTCTTAAATCCCAAACAGAACTCACCAAACAATGAAAGCTGTGAGAACTCTCAGCATGAGTCTCAGCAAGCATTAGCCTCTGAAAAACCTACCTATGCAGTAATGCAGCAGCCGGCCCAGCATGTCCTGGCACTCAGCAGGGCGGGAGAGGAAAAGGCGCATCAGTGCAGTCAGCAGCTCCATCTTAACAGCAGGAAATGTCTCTGACTTCACATTTTCTACAAAGTCCTCCAACACATAAGGAGCATTGGGAATTTTTCCCCCATGGACCCCAAGTAACCAAATAAGTGCCTGTTTCCCCTAGGAATAAGAAAATAATAGATGCTCACTTAATATGTGACTACCCAAAATGAGGACATGGTAGACAGTCAGCAGCTTTGCTCTTCTCCACAGCCAGCAGATAAACTATACTCTTCATTGGTGTCAATTAGTGCTATATGCCCTACTCCACTACTCTAAAACAAACAAAAATGAAATTCTAATGCACACAGACTTGGGTCTAGGGATGCAGGGCTGTTGGCAGAATGCTGACTTAGCAGGCATGAGGCCCCGAGTTTGCTGTCCAGTGTCACACACAAAACACCTGGAGGTAATGGGTCACATCTATAACCTCCTCAAAGTCAGCTACACAGTGACTTTCAGGACAGCCTGGACTATGTGACACTGTCTTAAAAAAGAAAACAAAAACAAAACAAAGCAATAAAACAAAATGTTATAATACATAAAGGGAAACTGAAAACTTTTGTTAGCCAATGTTGATTAAGCAATAAACTAGGCTTCCTCAATTTAGGGGTCTTTTGTCCAATTTAAGGTTTACTGTTTCTTTTCTTGTTTGCTTTGCTTTGATCTTTTTCAGTAAGTCCTGGCTGCCCTCCAATTCAGAGATCCACCAGATCTCTGTGATCAAAGGCGTGTGCCGGAGTTAACATCCTTAAAATCTGTATTTCATCTCTGCTACCCCAGACCCAATGGGGAAGTGGCCACTTTCCGAATTCTAACATGGTTGGTCCTTCCTACACCCCTCTCATGGTGATTCTGCTTCTTCCTCTCCTCTCTCTCTCAAACCAGGAATCCTAAATGTCTTGCCTCTGTCTGTCCTGTCCAGCCATTGGCTGCTAGCATCTTTATTTACCAATCAGAACCAACTGGTGGCAGTGTCTTCTGTATAGACACTGTGAAAGCAGTTTTGGGGACCAAAATTAACTTTATAACACAAGCAGCATTAGGCCAAACCCACTTCGCCTATTTTAAAAATTAACAAACAAAAGAACTAAAAATTCTACCAACAAAAAATTCTATGGTGTGAATCTGACTCATAATTATTCAAGAGGATAGTGGTATCAAAGAATTTGAAATTGAAACTATAGATAAGTCTTCTTTTTATAACTTATGTGCTATTTATATCCCAGAGAACCTGAGACACAAGTAAGCCTGAGTTCCTACTCTGAGTCAGGATTTTACAAAGAATTAGGTTCCATTTTAGGGCTAGAGAATAGCTCAGTTGTGTAAGTGTTTACCTAGCAAAAGTTTGATCCTCAGCACCACAAAACCAAATACAGATTCCATTTCAGGAGCAGGGTCCTATAATCCCTTCTATGATTAGAAGTAAAAAGAGTTAGATTCTACCTCACTGTCTTGAATGTTCTCCTCACAGCCGGGCAGGGCCTGACACACAGCTTCAGTACACTGAGGGCATAACCAGACCAGGTCTCGGAAAGTCTGCACCACCACTATAACACAGCCCAGGACACAAGAGAACAAGATTAGAGACTCCATGCAGAAAAGAATCTTAGGAAGAGTCATGTATTCAGATTAGATTTCTGACTGAATTTCTGTAAAACAGGTTTTGGAAGGGGTTATTAATTGAAAAAAGAGCAATATACTGAATTTTACACACATCAAATTGACATGAAGATAAGTAAACAAACACAGAAGCATTTCGTACATATAATGCTGTGGACAACCGTGGTGGAGTTGCTGACACTGAACGCAGTACTGGCATCCATGTAAGCCTGAGGATAAGGCATTCCTACATTTTGCACTGTACTAGCCTTCCTTGCCTCACTTCAGCTCAGCCTTGAAAGCTGGGTGAAGCAAAGGGGAAGATAAGAGAGCTGAGCTTCCTAGTGCCTTCATTACCTACAGCACAGCCTCTCATCACTCCTAGCAGCCAGAGTCTTCCCTTTAAATCTATAGAGCCCACGCTTCTCTGAGAGCAATAAATGATGATGCAAGGATATATGAAATTCATCTTACAAAAGATTTCTTTTTGTTTGTTTGTTTGTTTTTGTTTGTTTTTCTAGACAGGGTTTCTCTGTGTAGCCCTGGCTGTCCTGGAACTCACTCTGTAGACCAGGCTGGCCTCGAACTCAGAAATCCGCCTGCCTCTGCCTCCCAAGTGCTGGGATTAAAGGAATAAAATACATTTTTAAACAAGCTCAGGTACAATTTTACCAGAGTTTGAAGAAAAAAACCAACAGGACAAGCGAGCTGTAAGTGGTAGAGTAGGCCGAAAGGGGGAAGATGGGGAAGAGGAAGTAGCCATGTCTTTTATAGTTATGGTCCAAGAAAGCAGGCAAGTTCTGCAGTGGAGACCTAGAAGCCAGCAAGGTGATGCAAGACAGAAAGACAGGAGGGGACCCAGAGAGAGAGTGGGGAAGCTCGGAGTGTGAGGGAAAAGATGCTTAGGTTGTTGGCCAGGATCCAAAAGAAGAATAAGAAAAGGCTGTGCTTTCCTGAGTCAGAGCTTCCACATTAGACAAACCCAGTGGTGCTCCCCATGGCAACACTGTATATGAGCAGCTACCCTGCAGGCGGGCCTCAGAGAAGGCTGAGAGTATTAACTCCTTGAGGGGATAATTATTCCTCTTCTCAGTGGGTCTCTAGGTTAACAGGCTTTCCTGAAGGGTGAACTCCTGGCCAGGTTATTGACCGGTCAGACTGGATTAACTCTAAAGGAAGCAGAAAATAAATCGGATGCCATGTTCTGATCTTCAGACCAATTCAGAATGTCAGGTATCTGCCCAGAGCCAAAGGTATTCCACTGTCTTGACCTAGGGACCTGCAGAGGAGCAAAGCTCTGTTTACCTTTCTAGTGTTACCAGAGACATAAGGGGTGGAGTCCAAAGCTGACCGTGAGGGAGAGATTACTTAACGCCTCCTTGTCTTTTTTCCCTACAGATTTAGGAACTTTATTTTCTTTCCACCTTTCTGCTTTGAGCAGGTGTCCGCAGAGCAGCTCAGGACCACTCAGTGATGGCTCCAACCCATGGGGTAACCTGTGCTATGGGAGCTGCTCGGTGGCCGTCTGGGCACTCCAGTCTTCAGTAGGAAACTGCTAGGTGGCTACAAAGAGCACCTGCCACCCCCAGACCAGTCTGCCACCTCAGGCTGAGTACCAGTGTCATGGCCCATTCGTCCTGAAATTTCTCTGCGGTCACAGCCTTCTCAGCAGCAGCTGGCTCCTCCTTCTGAACCTCTCATTCTCTGTAGAAGTAGAGATCAGGTGTAACCTCCCCCGGGTGCTCCTGGGAGCTAGTACTACACATGCCGAGTACTTCCTGGACCGGCATCTATGACATCAGAGCACTGAGTGAGCTCCCTTGTTGCCAGGGCAATGTCCACATAGTGCAGAGGAAAATCTGTGGTACACAGAGCGATGGTGGGCTGGTTGGTATAGAGGCCTCTGTGAGGGGCTGGTGGTCAGTCCTGGGATCAGTCACCACTAGAAGCCATGGCTCCCTGAAAGCCCCTTGGATCTGGTTACTGCTGGTCCCACGACCAGCAATGGGAGTGGCTCTCCTGGCAGCCCCAAACTTCAGCACAGCTTGCTGGCCAGTGTTCTTGAAGGAGATGATGCTGACATAAGCAAGATTCCAATAGAGGGAGCTGCGAGCAACAGCTTCTCCCAGGTCCTCTTAAGATTTATGATGGAGATACCATCACTCTTCCCTGTGTAAATGGACTGCTCCTTCAGACAGTCAAGGTGGGTGCCACCCAAATGGGTTCCTGCCACAAGGAATTTGAGAACATCCTCCTCCTTCATCTGCAGGACATCAAGGGCTCCAAACATTGTGTAAGCTTACCTTTTAAGTTGTGAGTGGAATCAAGAACTACGCTGTATGTAGTTCCCTGGTCAGTGTGGAAAGCCCCTTCTATGGATCTAATCCCTGTGTATCTGTGTAACATCCCCTACTTGGCAGTTGAGACCCCAGTGTTATTTAGGAGACATGCTGAAATCTGGGAAATAGATATGCCCATTCATAACATAAAAATCCAGAGATCTGCTCCAACACTGTTGGCCAAAAGAGATGAGAGTCTGCACTGGGGTCCCAGCACAGTGCACACATAACTTCCAGGCAGGCCTGATCGCTTAGGAGAAGAGATGTCCCTTCTGGCACTCCTGTCTGCTGGCCAGGCCAGGACCAAGGCCAAAATCTCTTGAGGTCTCTATTCTAAACTGCCCAACAGGTTTCTACCTCCTGCCCTCACCCTAAGTGTAAGCTGTGTTCTTGTGAAAAGGGATAAACCATGGGAGCAAAGGACGAGAGGACCACCATCTTGTAGCACACTACCTCACTCCCTCTCCATCAACATTGTTGAAGCTGGCTCCAGATGCTTCCTTTCCTCGTTCAGACTCATGCATCTGCTAGAAGGAAACCTGTTCTGCTCCTGCCTTTCATCCCTCTCTCTCACACATCTCCCCACCTCTGCCCACATATCACCACCTACATTCACTTTGTATTCCAGGCAATACAAACTCTTCTTTAAAAAGAAACTTCCTGTAGTTAAGACCTTGTTCCTTTAAGGGGCAAGACTAAGTGATCTGGGGTGGCCAGGGCCTTTTAAAGAGACTGCACATTGTGGTCACTAGGTAGCACAGCGGAAATGAATCCTGTGTGGTTGATGACATGAGCTGTTAATCCTGTGTCATCAAGTCAAGGACAGCCCGGCAGACTGCCAAATTTACAACACCTTCTTCTTTCTCCATGTCCCAGGAAATATTCTCAAGGGAAACACCCAATGAGCTACCAGCTAATGTGATCCTTCCCTGGTGATCTAATGGGGTCATGTGACAAACAGCCTTTCAAGAAGAGGCTGAGATGATGGCTCAGTCAGGGAAGTGCCTGGAATGCAAGCATGAGCACCTGAGTTTGGCCTCTGAACATTTATACAAAGGTTAGGTGTAGGCTCTACCCATGGATTGTTCAGCAAAGACAAGCAGATCAGATCCCTAGAGCTCCTTGGCCAACTGATAGAGTCCAGGGTGAGTGAGAGACCTTGTCTCCAGAAATAACATAAAGAGCCGTCAAGGAAGACAATACTGACCTCTGGTCTCCACATGCACAAATACCTACACGCAAGCATGTTCACACACAAATATGTACACATATATGTGTGTATACACACACAACACACATAACACTCACCACACGCTATATCACACACACACACACACACACACACACACACACACAC